ATGTACAATGTTTCTTATATCTTTTATCTTCTTTAATAAACATCTGTATTTTCATATTACATGACTGGATATCTTCTGGACAGACCTCGTGTATGCCCTGGCTCATGTGGCTCAGTGGATTGAGCGCCAGCCTGTGAACCAAAAGGTCACTGGTTCTATTCCAGTCAGGGCACAAGGCCTGGTGCCTTGGTGCCCAGCAGGGTGGCCTGTGAAAGGCAACTGATTGATGTTTCTCTCACACATCAATGGTTCTCTCCCTCTTTTTCTCCCTCCCCTCACCTCTCTCTAAAAATAAATAAATAAAATCTTTTAAAAAAGACAATGTATAACATGCACGTCAAGCTCCAAAATTAACAGAAACACCTTTTTTAAAACTTTTATTTATTTATCTTTAGAGGGGAAGGGAAGGAGAGAGGGAGAAAAACACCAATGTATGGTTGCCTCTCGTGCATTCCCTGCTGGGAACTGGCCTGCAACCCAGGCATGTGCCCTGACTGGGTATCGAACCTCGATCCTCTGGTTCGCAGACCAGCGCTCAATCTACTGAGCTACACCAGCCAGGGCAGAAACACTTTTTAGTACCTCATTTGCTCCTCACAGAAGCCAGAGGAGACAAAACAGTGCTGAATTACCCCCACCCCACAGAGGAAGAGGAAACAGTTCACAGAGAGAGCTAAGGGCACTGGCTCTGACACCTGCCAGAGCTGAATTTGGGCTTTGTCATAATTTCCTCATTTGCAAAATGGGAATAATTCATCCTGTGAAGATTAAAATATGATTGGTTGTTCGCTCATTCATTCGAGAATATTAGTTTACAAACATTGAACACACACCGCAGGAGGTGGCAAGGATGAAGTAGTCGCAAGTGACACAGTCACAATCTCTGTCCTCACGGAGTGTACAGCTGGGTGGGAGCTAAGGCATTTGCCACAGAATCACACAGACACACGTGGGAGTCTGGCTGCGTGGCTTTAGTTTATGAGACCGCCGGACTGTGTGGGAGAGGAAACCCGGCGCAGGAGGTCATGGGGGTCTTTCTCAGAGGCTGCCACAGAGCAGATCTGGAGAAGTAATAAGGGGGGCAAAGAGGGAGCCTGAGCAGCCCAGGTGCAGAAATCTAAGGATACTGATATTGGGGTTCCCCTAAAAGGTCTAGCAGGCCACCCCAGAGTGAACCCCAACATTGTCAAAAACTGCCTCAAACAAAGACTATGCAGGGAAAAGAATGCTTTAAAATAAATCCTACTGATACCTTCAAAATTTAAAAAAAAAAAAAGGAGATAAAGCACAAAAATCTACTATAAAAAGGAATACCCAGGGAATAAAAAGGAACAATGGATATTAAAACCATGTTGAAAAAAGTAAACCCTTAATAAAAGTTTCACTACAAAGTTGAAGTCTCCCAGATAGTAATGCATAACAAAGGAGAAAAATAAAGAGAAAAAAGGGATTCACAGAATTAGGCCAGGATATCTGACATCTTAATAACAGGAGTTTCAGACAGAAAAAATAAAAAGGAAGAATGAATCCAAGAACCAAAGGACATACTGAGAATATTATATATGCTTCTAAAAAGAAAAAAAACTAGATCAGTTACAAAGAATCAAGAATGAGAATGGCTTTGGATTCTCAACACCTACTTAACAGAGGAAGAAACAAGAAAATAAGAGTACTAACTTCAATATTTGAGTAAAAAATGGCTCCAACCTTTAATTCTATACCCAAGTATTAGCACAGAATAATGACATTTTTACAAACACAGTATCTCCCAGGACTCACCTCCCACGTTCACTCTCAAGGAGGTACCGGAGGAGACGCTCCCAAGAACAGAGTAAACCAGGAGAAAAGGACACATATGACACGGAAAACGAGCTCCGACATAGGACAGGGGCAAAGGACGGTCCCAGAATGACTGCACTGCACGGGAGGCAGAGGGCAATGAATCCAGAGTAGAGACACGTGACACAAAAACGAGATGTAACGTCATCACTAAGTTCCCATCGACTGGCAACCTGAGAATGGACTGTCCGAGAAAGATGAGAAGAACACAGAATTATCCGTTGTTTTGATTCTGAGAAGGCAGGAGGGGCTGAGGTATTAGCCAAAGCGAAGGTGAAAAAAGATCATCTTTGGAAAGGAGGAGTAACAGCTACTGAGACTCCTCAAAGTCTTGAACGCAGACAAAGGCAGGTAACGGGACAATAATGGAATTCCCTTTCAAAGGCTTCTATTTTCTCTGTAAATTAGGAAGAAAGACCACTTGCTAAGTGTGAAAGTAAAAGGGTAAGCTTAAGGTTTGAGAAGAAGGGGAAAAACTGAAAAAATTATTAAAAATAGGAGAGAAAGTTAACCAGAAAAACACAGCAGGAAATGCGAGCAGTGGTAAGGGTCCTTCTGAGGTGGGTTCCACAGGATCCATGATGACGAATCTGCTGCTGAGAGACCTTCTTCAGCAGAAGTCAGCTGCTTAGGGGCAGGTACAGAGAAAGAGGTTATCTGAGGTCACTCAGAGTTGGGGATTTGTTTCATTTATGGGCTACAGCAGCGATTTTGAATCTTTCTCATTGCATGGCACACATAAACTGATTACTAAAATTTTGCAGCACGCCAATATATATATTTTTTGCCAATCTGACAAAAAATAGGTATAATTTTGATTCATTAGTACTAGATGGCTGTGATTGTGCTGGCTGTTGTAATTTTTTTAATTTGACAATCTAAGGAAAAAGAGGTCAGTGCCCCTGAACGAACACTCAGGTACCGCAGGTTTTAAATACTCTTGCAGCACAGGGGCTGCAAACTGCTGGGCTTGCATGTCATTTAAATAACAAACTGTGAGCTCTGACCAGGAGAATGAGCACGGGTGAGATGCCTGAAGTGGTCAGGGTGATCCAATGAGATATTAAGCAGTATATAAAAAAAAAAGACAGCTATTATTACTAATCATGGTCCTCTAGCAGAAAGTGATTTATTTGAGTATCTAATATGCAATCACTTCTCTCTCTCTCCTTCCAGACTGAGCTCTTACAGGATAAGGAGAGAGCCTGACTCATCTTTGCTTCTTCCTGAAGTCCAGTCCAGTAGCTGCCACACTCGCAGTAACTATTAAACGTGTTTGGTTAAATCAATGAATCAAATCACAGGCTTCCAAGCTATTCACATAGTTTTCTAAAAAGATCCTACTTAAGGCATTGTAACCTTAACAACAATTCGAAAAACAGACATTTCCAAGAAAGACACTAAAAGGCCAGCTACTCCACAGTCAAGTCAATGATAGAAACTTACTAAGTAGCTAACAGGATGATTAATGGGAGTGTTCCAATACTGCAGACGATAGAATTAGCATGAGAAAGAAAATGAATTAACATGCATGACATGAAAATTAAGATACACTTTATTTTTAAGGAACAGAAAGAACTCCTGCTTCTCTTTTTATCATTTCAGTACCCTATGATAGTTCATGAAATGAGTAACTTGCAGCATAACCTACTCAAATGCTGATCAAAAACGTGTCTAAGGGCAGACCATGCCCACTAACTTCTATGTTCTGGGTTGAGAGCAAATCCCTAAAATAACACCGTACCTTTCCTGGTTTATCAAAGGCCACACAGAGGGTTTAAAAGTAAGAGATCTTTTTTTGGCTACAGATCCAATCAAAGAAAAAAAACATAAAGATTTTGATTTTGCTGCTGCTTAAACTAATATAACGTTCATTTTAAAGTATCCAAAGAAGAAAAATATATAGTTAGCAGCTTTGATTTAATAGCAAAAGGATACAGGGAATACAATCTTAAGTAAAATCTTTACTAAAAATCTTTAATAAACAAGTTGTCTGACACAGGTTACAATGGGCGGCCAGGTCTCCGGGTGGTCCCTGTAAGTCTGACGTGCTATATGAGATACTAAAGCGCCCAAAGAGATATTAAAATGCCCAACCCTCTAGTTCCCACACTTTATGGAAAAACGCACATAAAGTTCTCCTGTGAGATGTCAAAACAATCCTTTGTCTCTCTCACCACCTGTATTGTAACCAGCAGAAGTCATAACAGGATAGAAAGGGGAAGGGGATTTCAGGCAGTGAACAAAAAAGGAAATAAAAAATGCAAAAGGATACTTAGTCCAATTTGACTCTCTTTACGGCTCCTATTTTCCCCTGAAGTCCCCGGAAATGTCCTGCCTCCACTCTCAACGAAAGAACTGCCCCAGAGCCTCTCTAGACAAAAGAGTGTCCCTTCCTGCTACATCCCCATTCTCAACACCTCGGATTATAAGGCAGACAATTCCATGAAAGCAATGTATCTGGTAGTGCTTAAGGGCAATGCCTTTGAGAGGGAGGAGTTGAAAGTATAGGAGAAAGAGTAATCATATGTCTGGGTTCCTGAGAAGACAAAAGAGAATGAGATACAATTCAAAGTAGAACTTGTCGAGCAGTAACAAGGGGAACCTGGGAGCAGGTTAAGAGGTTTTCTTCTCTTTCACCTCTCTTCCTGAACGTCAGCGCAAGTCAAACAACATCCAGTGTGTAAACAGGGAGAGACCGAGATGGAGTCTGCCTGCGCTGCAGAGGGACGCCCAGGGTCCAGACACTGTCACATAACCAGGAGACATTTTTTTCTTGATTTTCCTTAGGCACCTCAAAATCGTAAAATATTAACATATGAGTTTACCTATCAATTAAAAGTTATAGAATTTTGAAAAACCTAAGCTTTTAAAAATAATCTAATATATTAATAACCCTTATTCAGTAAACATCTGCTGCTGCTAGGGAATAACACAACCCTTCACTGTGACATGGCTTTACACATTTTCTGACACTAAAAACCGATTCAGAATTACCTGACACACAGGTGGCCCAAAAAGTACCAAGTCTATTCCAAGAAAGTGAAAAGTAGCCACGATGCTATTCTTCATACTTAATCCCTGTGTACTGAACACCCCATTTATCAACTGCTTTTGTCTTTAATGAAACAAAGTTACCGCAGATAGTAAGGCTGTTTTACCTTCATAATGTTAACTAAATCTGTTTGATAGTAGCGCTCCTGGTGTGCGTTCGCTGCTGCTAATGTAAGAAGATAATCATTCCTTGCGTGGGTAGCTTTGGAATTACACTCAGTTCGCCGGGCTTTTAACTAAAACAATAAAAGAAAAAAAAAATCAGCGCAGACTGATATTACACTGCAAAACACATGAGAATACCTTGCTCAGTTGGCAATTAATGGCTCCTCTATAAAAGTAAAGAGTAACCACATAGAGAAACATTTATATGCATATAACAACTATTCAACACTATTGAGGAATTAAATAAACAGTGACTAGAACTGTTAAACCTAGTAAGAGCATTTTCAAATATTTGTTACTTATACTTAACATAACTTCCAAAGCTTTACCAAGAACTTCAAAGTATTTTGCTCATTTCATCCAGATGGAAAAATAAAAGTTCCCAAATTAAGTACCTTATTCTGTCTTCAAAGACACGGGCATATCTGTTGGAGTTAGAAAATAGTTTTTAAAAATCCAACACTAAAACCGTGCCAAAAGGACTGCCTGCCATTTGAGAGCCTGGTGGCCAGAGCCAGGTCACTGAGCTTCCTTATCAGTACTCCACTGCTCGAGGGTCCTACAGGGGAAAACAGCTCGTATCTGGTCCAAAATTTCTGCTCAGGGTGTAAATCTCAATGAAATGGGGTTCTAAATCCCCTGGGATAAGCCTCTTACACCAAGTTAAAGACATAAAGCTACCTGAGCAGATAAGGTACTGAGACCTACCCGGAACACAATCTGGAGAAGCAGGCGCCCTCGGAGGTGTTGACACTTGGGTGAACCGACTCCTCCCCCTCCCACACAAACCGGGAAGGAAAGTCCTTCTCTAAGTTACTGACTTTAAAATGCTCCTTTGGAGTAGCTCAAAATAATTGACCTCCACCATCAAAAGACCCAATTGTTTTATGTTCTTCAAGATAAGATTTCTCAATTGCGAAACACAGTTTTCAAACTCTCACCTTCACACTTGCCTTCTGTAAACTGATTCTTGATTGAAAAAGACTAAGTTTAGATCTGTAAAAAAACAAAACAAAAAAGGATGGTAAGTAAAATCATCAAATTATATCATAACAAAATAATTAAATATTATAATCACTAATTTTTTTAAAGTTACCCATTTTCACAATACTATTCTGAAAGAGAACTAAAAAAAGTGAAAAACCAAGATCAATGATTATTTTCCTTCTTTTTACTACAGGAAGAATTTAATATTATGGTGAAACAGGAGATACTGATATTAATAAAATAAAAATATTCTGAATGACAAAAAATCAATCAGACAAATCCAATTCATTGGTGTTTCATAATAGTCAAGAGTCATTAAACTACAGGTTACTCCCATATCATACAATTACACACGCTTTAGTTCCTGCAAGGGACCGATAACCAGTGGAAACAAAGGTGAGCGGCTTTCCGGGCAGCATGTGACAGGCTCCAACGCTGCCGGGACGCAGCCCACCGTGTGATACTGACAGGCTCTAGAAAGTCCTTCATTCCACTATTTTTCCCATTAAAAGCTCTTATTTGGGTGCCTGTGTGCCCTCTCTACTCTTCACACAGTATTTGGAGCACAATGAGAAAGCCCCTGGACTCTCTGCCCTATATGATTTTGTTCTATTTCATCTTCTCCAAATCTGGCATCACTATTTCTTTCGATCCCTTTCTGTATGGGAGAGGAGCCATGATCTGAAAGTCAGTAATAAACATGCTGGCTTTATCCAAACAACCACAAAGAAAGTCAACAGACAAATGTGGAAGAACAATCACCACTCCCACGACCAGTGACTTTTGAAGCTGCGATGTTTGTCTTGACTGCGATGTCATGGCAATCAATTGCCATGGGAGACTTCAGTGCATGTGCCAGCAGCTGGGCCATAACATGAGGGGAAGCTACAGCCACGGAGCAAGCCAGTCTCTGCAGAACCAAGTGAGGAGGGCAGCAAACGCAGCCTCCCATCTTCTGACAGGGGAGAAGCATTCAGGGATGTACACGGATGGAGCCAAACTACTTCCCCGTTGTTAAAAAAAATTGGGTCCAAGATATTCCTATTTTCTACCTTCCCATATTCATACTTCGTGGGGTTTTTGTTTTTAGTTAGTCTTGTATTCGTTTTGATCTAGAAAAGCAAAGGCCAGAGACTTAAAAATTTGAGAGGGCAGGTTCACGGTTAAAATAGGTGGTTTGGGGTTTTTCTCAATTCTCCACTTTTTGTTGCCATTATCCAAATAGTCTGAGTTGCACCTGGACTTTCCAATGTAAGGCTTTAAATTTCTGGCTTCTATTTCATTTGGGAATCCTCAAATAATTTTTGTGTGGTACTACAGTAGCTATTAGTAATCAACAGAATAATATGGTCCCTGCCCTCAAAGATTACTATCTAGAACAAATGAGATATATACAAATAATGAATTCTTTCTCATCTGCTTCCCAAATGTTGATATTACTTAAGGTTCCAAACTCAACTTTCATCTCATTTTACATATGATGTCATCTTTATAACTATCATCTGAAAGGCAATTAACCTCCAAAGTGAGACCTTTCCACCCAGATTCTCATCTGAAAGTGAGCTAGTCACATGACTCCCTACCAAAAATATTCACACTAACGTTCTACGGGTTTTTTAGAACCTTCATACCCCAAACAGAACTAACCTTGGCCTTCAAACCGCATCCCTCTTCCTGCGAGGTGCACATCCCTCCTAACATGCACGTCTCACCGCCTGTCAGATCCTCTATCGAACTACATGCGGTCCAGCTCTCATGTCCCCCTTCCCGACCTTCTCATCTCCACTTAGAGAGATCATATTCATTCTCCAAGACTACGTCCAAACATCACTTCTTCTATAAAGGTTTCCTTCTACATTAGGCAAAATTAATCTGTCTTTCATGATTTGTACTGTCTACTGTAAATACAGTAGCCACTAAGTAAGTGACTTTAGGTCCTTTTCTAAGTTTACTGTGAATAAACAAATCATAATGCCACTCTTAAATACATCTGTCTTTAATTCTAGGTTTTAAATCTCTTCAGGGCACAAAACTCACCTTACTCATCTCCGTACTCACAGCACCCAATATAAAGTAATTATTCAATAAACACTTAGCGAGTGAGTGAAGATGAAAAGGCATTTCTTACTCTGCAGCTGAATTAATTTTCAGAAAAGCCACACAGTGAACTAAAGGGTCTAATTTGCTGCATGCCCTTTGAATCTGGGCCATATTAGAAGGCAGCTCCCCGATCAGCACCTGTGGTAACCAGACCCTGTCAAACCCACCCATCTCAGGAACAGCCCGCAATGGTCCTCATTTTCACGCTGCAGGCCCTGGCTAACGTGGGCATTTCTGTATCTTCTACAAATCTGTCAACTCTCTGTTCTAGAATCCCAGAGAGTTTTAACAAACAAGTTCCTAAAACCTACCATAACAGGATATTCCTAATGGAGAGCACCTGATCTAAAATATTTTTGGTCTCACTGGGACCTGGCTGGGTAGCTTGTTTGGGTAGAGGGCTGGTTAGAGTGTTGTCCTGATGTGCCAAGGTTGTGGGTTTGATCACTGGTCAGGGCTCATACAAAAATCAACCAATGAATGTGTAATAATAAGTGGAACAACAAGTCAGTGTCTCTCTCCCCCCAACTTCCTCTCCCTCTAAAAAAAATCAATAAAGACGATGGATCTTATTGGGAAAATTTACTCTACAGGAAATGTCTGTATGCTCACAAAAATAAAATAATTACGACAATAAACTAAGGGAAACAGAACTTAGTGAATGTATTTCCCAGTAACACTAAGTATTTCATGAATATGCAACTACCACACCTTGGTACGAAATACACTTCTCAGGAGAACTCAAATTTTCACAAGATACTTATAAGATTGCTTAATTTCTTGCAAACAGATAAAAAATATTAGAAAGACACTCCCCAGGCCTTGCTAGTCTGTACAAGTGTTCACAGCCTTTCGTATTTCGTGACTCAGAGTTCCGACTCCTAGATTGTACACCGGTGAGCTCACTGAAGGGAGCTCTCCGCACGGACCTCTTCAGAGCCCGGTTCTGTAACAGAGGCCTATCTTTTCTCAGGTTGTCACTGCAGAAATCTCTACTGCTTGCTTTATGAGTTCCTTCTACTACCAATTGCCACTTCCTTCTTTTCCTAATTATTCTCAAAATAGAGAATTTGCAAATCACAAATATGGAAGTAAAATTCACACAGTTGGTAAAGCAGACATAAAAAAAAAAGTACACATGTTAGAATTTCACGTAGGAGAAAAACTGCACCCAGGCAGGGTACCTACAGTGTGGTCAGTGGTCCCGTCCACGTGGCACGCCCATGACCCTCCACGGGCAGGCTGAGGACGGGGGACTCCCAGCTACAGTTACCTGAGCGTCTAGCACAAGAAAAAGGAGGCTTCTAAGCCCTGAAAACCACACACCAGGGCAACTTTAACTAGACATTTGCTAAGCTTTCAATACCATGTTCACTTGTCTTCTTTTGAGAATTCAATTTAATGTAAAAACTGACTGGTCGAATCTTCTCACTTTGCTATATTATTTTAAGTATAATCAGCTAGTATAAAAGAAAATTTTGATTTAAAGTCCGTAACACTTACAGGTAAGATGAAACCACCATAATCTAAGAATGAGTCTATGCTCAGTACTAATGGAAAACAAAGTATTGGTAAAAATAACATTATTTGCATAATCACTTCTTCAGAAATGCTGAAACACATACTTTGCCTCGATGTCAGCTTTCTCCCGTACTGCTTGAGCCATCTGTTCAGTCTCAAAGTACTTCTTTTTGCCTTTAGCTAAATCTTTCACTGTCTCTTGTAATTCAGTCTGGATCTTTGTCAACTGGTCCATACACTGTAAAAACACAAAGTGCAATTATTATGATTTCCGTTTTCAGGCTTACAGAAATGGGCTGCCCTAAGGATGGAAACCCAGGAGAAGTCAGCACTCCAGTCTCCTTCAAACTGAAAAGTAAAATCCAGTGAACAGCTGCTACTCCAGTTTCAAGTGACATACGATAAAGCGGCACGGCCAGCTGACGACTCTGTTGGCAGACGTAATAACTGAGCGCTGATGGCTGAGACTAAGGAAAGGCATAAGGAGAGCAACAATGCAAATGCTCTTACTGTTGGAGCTACCATGGCAATAAGCAAAAGAATAAAGCAATTCTGTGTTTCTTCATGATCTTAATTATATTTCTCTATATGTCTGGGTATCTGGTAGTGTAAAGGGTACTGAAGAATTCAGCCCTGGACAAGGAGAGGAATCTTAGAAGTCTGACCTAAGCCCAAGGTGAAGGACAACAGCAAGAAACCTGGGCACCACCGTAATAATCATTGCTCAACTCTCCCCAACTCTTGGGAGACACATATACATTCCAGACAGAACAGACATAATCACAACTCCAAGAAATGTTTAATCATTAAACTTACAATATACTGGGGCCAAAGCAACACTATTATGGGTCCCTTCTGAATATACAAAGGGGAATAATTTTCCCTAGATTGAAACAAACCACTGAAAAATTTTGCCAGACCGAGGCCAGTTTGGGGTAGCCCCCATCAGAAAACTCACGAGGCTGGAAAAGCAGTCAGGGGTTGGTGCAGATGGACAAGAGCTCAGCAAGCAGAAGAGACGCTGGTGAGGGACCACTGTGTCAGGCTACGCAGTGCGGAGGAGAGCAAGGATAAAGCATGAATAAACTTGAACTTAGCCATGTGACACACTGGGCAGAGGTCCCCAGAACTGTTTTGATGTCAAGAAAGGAGATACTTTACAAAGAAGCGAGGGATCTGGAGGGCTCCCTATGGGCACATTTACTGAGCACCTCGGGGTCAGGCTGTGAAGAAAGGGTTAAAATAACACCTCTCTCCCCTCTGCCTGAAAAATTGGAGCTTTAGGTCTGTGCTTCAGTAGAAACCTGATGAAGACACAATGTTAGCTGCGTTATTTGGCAACATTGCTTATGAACCCTTCAGGGTAAACTGCATCAGTTTGGAGAAACTATAAATGAACCATAAATATCTCATGGAGAAGCCTTGGCTTTGGGCTTGAGCATGGTGATTCCTGTATCTGGACATGTCCCTTGCAGGAACCTTGGAAGCTCTGCACATAGAGCTGGAACAAAGACTCTAGTCTCCTTCAGGGCCTGCAGCTACCCCTGCACACGGGAGTCTCATTGCCCTGGCCCAGACGTCTCGCCTGGGGACCCAACAGAGTAACTCTGGTTGGCTGTGTAGACTGAGGTTTGCACTGGTGGAAGAACTAATTCTACTATGTTGGGTAGAATGCTGGGCGCCAAATGCTGGTTAACGAACGGTGCTCCCTGTCCTAATGTCCTTCTCAATAAACCTCCTGCCACAGGCAGCCTGTGATAATCATGAGAGTCTGAATGCTTAGCTACGTTTTTAAGAAGATTCCCTGCAGCCAATGCACAGGTACCATGCACTGTGCTGAGCACTTCATAGGGATTATTCAGTTAGTTCTCCAAATGACCCTATGATAAAAGTATTCATATGTTAGTCCCATTTTAAAACAAGGATACAGGTTTAGAGAGGTTAAATAATCTGCCCGAAGTCTCACAGTGAGGAAGCAGTGATATCGTTTACCACGTAACCACTATAGCACGTACTCCAGTTCTGAAGGCCAAGTTTTCAAGGTCCCATACAGAGATACTTTATGTCAAAATAGTAAGCTTTAAAAAAATGGACATATTTTTCACTTAACACAAATCCACCTTTTTAAAGGGTACAGTTCAGTGGTTTTTAGTGCACTGACAAGGATGTAAAGCCATTACCACTAATTCCAGGACATTTTCACTGTCCCAGAAAGAAAGCCTGCACCCATCAGCCACCACTCCCCATTTCCTTCTACCCTGAGCCCCTGGCAACCACTGACCACCTTCCGGGCTCTATGAACTTCCTACTCTGGACGTTTCGTATAAATGGAGTCATATAATATGTGGCCTTATGTGGCTCACTTCTTTCATCTAGCAAAATGTTTTCATGGTTCATTTATGTTACATTGGGTGTAAAGTCTTCATTTCTCTTTATGGCTGCATAATATTTCATTGTAAAAATATACTTAAATAGTAAGCTTTTATCTTGCAGAAAAATCTGCCTTTCTTTTTAATTTTATTGGTCCTTATCATACACAAACCTCTTGTCTAATAAATAATACCATGACAACATGACAACCCCACAGAGGACTGATAAACATCCCAATAATGCCACGTTCACAGGTGGGAAGAGCTGAGACGGTGCTCCAAGCACCTTAATACCTGAGGTAGGTATTAAGACCCCAAACTGAAGCGTGGTCTGAAAGATACAACTGTGTTCAATGGGAAAATGGTATCAATTACTTAAAAGAGGCCTCAAGTGGAAGGCATTTTATCCATAATATTCATTCGAAACAAGCTTGGCCTCAGAAAACTAATCAATGAGGGGAAGCCCAAGAGTCCTGTGTTGATGCATATGCAATGAAAGGGTTGACTAATCTGAACATTTTGGGAGGAAACTAAACATAGTAGGTCAAAGATTTTCCAGGGGACTGGAAACCATACAGAAAGGGTCTGGATATATCCATACAAAGTGAACACCACATACATGTGTACACACATATATGCACACACACAGCTGCTTGCCCTTACACCTGACATCCAGACCCTTTGAAGAACAAGACACAACTCCTTAGTTGTGGGTAAGCAAACAGCTTACAGGGATTACTTAGTTCACTTTCATCTATAAAAGGCTATTAGTTAGAGCTGCCACTTGCAGCAATCCCTCTGCTGAGTATCTATTTGAAAAATTTGAAAACACTTTTCATAAAGATATATGTATCTCTATGTTCACTGCAGCATAATTCATAGGAGCCAAGGCATGGAAACAACCTAAGTGTCCTGCAGTGAATGACTGGATAAACCAGATGTGGCTCATGTATGCAGTGGAATGCTCCTCAGTCATAAGAAAGGATGAAATTTTGCCATTTGAGACAACATGGATGGATCTTGAGAGTATCATGCTAAGCAATATAAGTCAGTCAGAAAAGGACAAGCATCATATGATTTCACTCATATGTGGGGTATAACAGAAAGCAACAGATCAACAAAGTCATAGACAACAGTATGGTAGTTACCAGAGGGGAAGAGGGTGGGAGGAGGAGGAGAAGGTAAGAAAGTCAAACACACAAACATTGCATTTGGTTGGTGAGCACACAATGCAATACATAGACGATGCGGTATAGAACTGTACACTTGCAACTTACATAAGTGTAATTAAACAATGCCACCCCAACAAATTTAATTTAAAAAGTAAATAAAAGGCTACTATATTATATACATGCCACAATATCAGATGCATTTTGTGGTAGTTCATATCTTTAAAACATTTCCCCCAAAAAAATCTTATGAGCAAACTCTGGTTGACTCTATTCTTGTTTGCTTTTTTCCCTTTTCGTAAGTTTCTAAGATACTGGCTATCAAAATATTAGAGATAGCCTATGTTTGGGCTGAAGAGATCTCTTGTGATCCTTTCTTCCCACGCATTCAGTAAACCCACAACCAAATGGTTTCCATCATCTGAGTGAACTATGTCCAGTCAGATTAATTAGGGTTCTTCTTCAAAGGAAAGTGCTCTCCATGTAGCAAAATACCAAAAATATTTATTTTAAAAAGTCATCAAACTTAATTTGCAAAGGAAAAGATTAATTAGGACTTTCTAATTTTTTAAATAAATTTCTTCTGTAAGAATCCACTTTTCTGGGGTGGACTAAATTACGTACGTAAAAAGAAGGTTAAGGACGCCCATGTTAAGAAAAGCTTCAGTGTGATGTACACCCAACTCTTCCCCAAGAGTTACCAGCACTGAGCAGACGTGGAAATGAGTGTATAAGTTTACATGAAGGCTAAGGGATCATACGAGGTGGTGACAGACTGGATAATTGTAATTCAGATCCTAGTGAAGAAATTAAAAGTATGATCTCCAAGTATGACACAGAAACAGTATAGACACAGAGAGAGATGGACAGGTGGGACAGAGAGACTTGCTAATAACTTGAAGGCAGGAATAAAACTAAAGGTGACTTGGGCCAACACGTCCCAGTCCCACAAACTAGGAGGTTCTCTGACCCAGTGGTCATGTCCTGGGAATTTATCCTGAGAAAATAACTTAAAAGAAAATAGTTAACTTTACTGCAGATTTAGTGGTATGATTAAATAGAGGTATAATGAGATAAGGTAGAATAAATAAAAGTCATTCAGAAATTAAAAAATAAGCCCAAAAGTTGTGCAGAAATATGAGGAGTCCAGTTAAGAGGGTGGCACAGGTAAACATGGAAATCAGAACCTCTGACAATCACGTCAAAATTACAACTAAATTACAGAGCAAGCACCATCCAGAACACCTGAAACCTAGCTGAACAGAAGTCCTATAACTAAGGATATAAAGTACAAGTCCCAGCCCTGGCCAGGTGACCCCGCTGGTTGGATTGTCATCCCATATACCAGAAGGTTGTGGGTTCAATCCCCAATTGGGGTGTATATGGGAGGCAACCAATAGTGTCTCTCTTTCTCCCACCCTCATCTTCCTCTCTCTCTCTCAAATCAATGAAAACATGTCCTCAAGTGAAGAGAAAAAGCCACATCAAGATAGTCAGGAGGGGCAGGGATGCTGAACAGGCTGGTCGCACACCCACAGGTGGCAGTTAAAAATCAGCAGAAACATCTCGACTTCCGAGGTCCCCCCCTTAAGAAGCAAAGGTCCCAGCCCCACATCAGGACCCCCAGCTGGAGGAAAGTTCCAGTGCCCTGAAGGAAAGTCCCCATAACTTCTGGCTGTGAAAACCAGCAGGGAACTGAGTGAGAGGCGGGCTTCTGGAATCCCAGGCAGTTCCTCTTAAAGGGCCCACACACTGACTTACTCAGACCCACTTGCTCTGAGCTCCAGTGCTAGGGCAGCAGCTCAAAAGTACCAGGGACATAAAGGAGGAACTGAATTGTCTGGCTTCGGACGAGAGCTGGGGGGCAGCTTTCTCCCAGTGCATCTGGCAGACACACTGGCAGAGGCCACGGTTCCCTTTCCAAGCCCTCCCCCACACGGCCAGCAGGTGGGCACCGTACCTGAGCCTCCGCCAACCTAGCTAACAAGGTTCAACCCAACCTGGTGATGCCCCGGTTTTTATGTTATTGAGGTGGCAAAACACTAATTCAAGGTAATAAATTAATTTAGAGTAAAGTTTGGAGAATAGTAGAAGCACCAATTAGAGGTAAACTACAATAAGTCAAATGGAGGCATATTGGAATGTCTAAGGTAATTACTAAAAGAATAATGTAAGATTATAAAACTAAAAAGCTAATAGTGAAGAAAATTGAAAACAAAAACTGTAAGATTGCTCAACATCACTAATAATCAGGGAAATGTAGATTAATATCATAATGACATATTACCTCCCACCTGTTAAGATGGTTATTGTTATTTTTTTTATTTTGTCCTCACCTGAGGACATGCTTATTGATTTAAGGGAGAGGGAAAAGGAGGAAGAGAGACAGAGAGACACTGATGTGAGAGAGAAACATCGACTGGTTGCCTCTCATATTTGCCCTGACCAGGGACCACACCCACAACCCAGGCATGCGCCCTGACTGGGAATCAAAAGCTGAACCTTTGGCCCATGGGACCACGCTCCAATCAGCTGAGCCACACTGGCCATTGGGAAGGTTGGTTATTTAAAAAAAAAAAAGACAGTAAGTATTGGCAAGGTTGTGGAGAAATCGGAGCCCTTGTGCACTGCTGGTGGAAATAAAAGATAATGCAGCTGCATTGGAAAACAGTACGGCAATTCCTCAAAAATTAAAACAGAAACTACCACATAATACAGCAATCCCAATTATGGGTATTTATCCAGAAGAATTGCAATCAGGATGCAGAGGAGATAGATTTATCACCCCCATGTTCACTGCAGCACTATTCACAAAAACTTAAATGCAGAAGCAACCAAAATGTCCATCAATACGTGAACGTGTAAAAATATGCCAAAAATGTGTGGCAGGTACAATGAAATATTGTTCAGCCTTAAAAAAAAGAGGAAAATCCTACAAGATGCAACAACATGGCAGAACCTGGGGAGTACTGTGTTGTGAAATGAGCCAGCCAGTCACAAGACATATACTACATGATTCCACTTCAGTATCTAAAATAGTCAAACTTACGGGAGTGAAGAAGAGGAACGTGGTTGGCAGGGACTGGGGGCAAAGGAAAGAGGGAGCTGCTAACCAACAGGTGTAAGACTCCCATTGTGCAAAGTGAGTAAGTTCTGGGTACTGCACACTGCAAAGTCTCTTTGGAGAGTAAATCTCATGCTGTGTTCTTATCTCAATAAAATATTTTTCTAAAAGATTAAAAAGAAGCCCTTTTGAGGCTTCTTTTGTGTTCAAAAGAAGCCTCAAAAGGGCAGGGCAGAGCCTTAGCAGGAAAGGAAAAAGAATAGCTGGTTTACTGAGCCCACAGTTTGTTGCAGAGTTTGGGAGGTCCAACTGGAGAAGCCAGTGGCAGCGGCCGTCTGCTGCTTTTGCTTGCTGTTTCTTTGGGAGCCCGTCTCCATTTTTCTTTGAAGAATCTACCTCTTTCCCCATTTTAGCCCGTGTCATTTGCGTGAAGACTCCTAACCCCCGACTAGTGGAGTGGTGGGGTGGGGGGACGTGACCCCAGATAATCAATGAGTTTCAATTCTGGTAGTTTTGCGAAACTACCAAAAGTAGTTTGGGAAAAAGAAACCATGGAAGGGCTAGTTATAAGATGTGTAAATCTGGCACTTTGGGGCCACTGTATGGACCGAGTTGCTAAAGAATGAAGCCATTGGAAAAAGCAGAGCTAATGGATGGGAAGAAAATTGAATTCTAATAGCCTTATTTGAGTGCATAGATCCACCCTTGCCTGGATTCCATCCATGCTGAAATTTACATGCTAAAACATTCTCTTCTTGGATTAAAACCAGTTTAAAGTAGGCTGTGTCATTTGTAATCGGAGTCCTGACAGGTGTGTTCAATATGTACCTAAAGTTTAACAATTGCTTAGATAAAAGATACACATCATCATCAGCTATAATAGAAAACAAGTTAATTCACATACAAGGCTTTGTCGAATCTCCCCAAACGTCCTTTACTCAGGAATGTTGCTTAAATTCAGGTCAGAGATCACTCTACCAAAGGCAGAAAAATGTAGATATGATAAACTCTTTAAAAATATTCTGATAGTGTGAAAGGTGGAACATACCAGTAACTCGATCAGATTCGGTGAATGTACTGACTATCTGAAATGCAGTATTTCTGGTTAGGAAGTTATGCTAGTATTAATTTTCTATCTTTTCACAGCATGCACAAATGGATACCTATGCACACATACAAAATATTTTCTTCTAAATCGAAAGCATTGTTTAGTCAGTGGTCACATAATGTATTCACCGTGTTTGTTTTGAAAGGTATTGGATCAAAGATAAAACAAAGGTATTCCTATACAAGTATGTTAAACCAACCGATATGTGAGTGGCTCTAAACAGATTAAAATTTTATACACACAATATACACTTCACATTCTAATTTTATACTACTAAAATCATCTTTGACAAACAAGGAAGATTAGATTTCTTTTGTTTTTGTTTGTACAAAATATCTAAACATCCAAATGACAATTAGAAGCATATTGAATGGCTTCTGAAATGTTATTTTCTTAAATAATTACCTTAATATTTTCTAAAGCATTAATACTTCCATAAGAGAAACTTACTTATTAGGTGTCATGATAATCTCTATTTCTGTAACTCTAGTTCCAAAAAGGACAATTTAATCACCTACTTCTAATAGCAAGCTTTGCATAAAAGTCACATTTAATAATGATTTTTCAGTGAACTTTTAATTTCTGCATAATCAAAGAAAGATCTATTTGAAAAGTTTTCCTTTTATATAACCTGTACAATTAAACTTTAAAGTATATTGGTTTGGGTAATAATTTTATATTTTGTCAAAATCTGTCAACTTCCTTGAAATCATTATGGAAAATGGCTCAAGTCGAAGCTATGATGAATTTTTTAAGGCTCAATGAGATTAATAACATTGTAACTCCTTGAACATGCACCAAACTATACGAACGAACGTTGTGGAAACTAAGATCTATGGACTTGAGTTAAGTTGAAAACCAGTATTTGTTAAGTGTTTACAGCGCTTCCAGAACGTCCACAGAGCACAGCTGCACTCACCGCTGTCAGTTAATAAAACGCAGCAGTTAGAGGGCATGTGCTGTAATCAGAGCACCCGTGCTGTGGTCGGAATCGTTTGTGACCCAACAGAAAAGTTCTGAGTATTGAATGCAACTTAATATAGTCTTGCAGATTACAAATGTAACACTGAGATATTAAAATGCAAATAAAGAACAAAAAAACAAAAAGGAACAATACCCTTTTTAGTTGTTGTTCTTTTAAGCTTCTCACTGTCCTTGCAGGCTCAGAAATGAAGTTTTTATAGTTTTCACACATATTGATCCGAGACTGGGCTACCTGCATTGTTCCCTCGAGAAAAGATTTCCACACAGGATACATGCTCCTAAGTTCAAAGAGGGACAGAAAAGTGTTAGGTACGGAAGAGAAAGAAAAAGTTGGCTAACCTTTTGCCCACTCACTAACACTGACAAACAGAATGAATGTTGTCTTTACAGTCAAAAGTATATTTACACTGGCTTATAGGTAGCAATATTTTTAGCATATATAAGCAGAAATAGCATATACTCTATTTCTCTATTGCTTACAATTGGCTGTTTTGATTAACTAGCTATTCGGGTTACTGGCGTAAAATGATACGAGGATTATAATTCTAGACAAAGCTAACATTATAAAAATCAGTGACTAAGACTGTCCAGGCCTTTCACTGTCTCCGGGGTCATCATTATAAATATCAAGTGTCATTATGAGGTAAGCGAGGCAAAGAGAGATTGAGAGAATTAAATCCCACAGATAAAGGCTGGGTGCTTCTAACATACATTCTCTTTGAGCTGTATCATCTTTCTCTCTTACACGGAATGAGGTGGCTGGGGGGGCAGGAATTACGAACAACTGCTTCGTGCTGGAGAAATCTATTTGTCTGACCAAAGAAGTGAATGGTGTCATTGCTCTCCATCTCCTTCTCTGCTGTAATAATGCTCAGCCGGCACTACATTTTGGCTTAGAGTCATTCCAAGCAAATCCCATCACCTTTGTTTGATGAATGTGCTCAGCAACCTCCTGGTGAAGTCAAAGAATTACTCATCTTTGCTTTTTTGTAGCCTGCTTCCTTTTCAAACCTTTTCTTCTACTTTGCTAAATGCCTTAGCCAGGTCTAGTATGCCCCAACACTAGTTATAAACATATTTTATAACTGATCACAACAATGGATGATACTATGTTTTTTAAAGTGAGATATTTGCACTGATCAGTTACGATATTCATGTCCTGAAATTTCCTTTACACTGCCATGTGGATTTCCTACCACTGTGCCGTGCAGGACCATGTGCTACATAAAATGCTAGCTGGGGGTCCATGGGTGAAGGTGTAATGACAAAGGAAAACTAGCTGAGTCCCCATCCTACCCAGAACTGAAAAAACTTGAAATTATGTTTCAACCAAGGAAATGATCAGTTTGTGTGAAGAAATGGTTTGTTTAATATGTCAAGTGAATCTGTTGGGATGGAAATAGCCATTTATTTAAGCAGAGGTATACCACCTTCCCTTTGGAAAAAAGATTCCATGTGGTATGCCGGCAAAAACTATCAGCGTAAAAGCACTGATGGGCTTACGAACAGCACAGTCCACGTCCTCCGTGGCCTCCCTGCACGACGGCAGCGGAGCCGGGATGCTACCTCACACAGGCCCTCCCAGCAGTCCGAACAACTGGTTTGCCCACTGAGAATAAACTCAGTACCACGCTCTGTAATCTATCAACTTATATTAAAATATTTGAAAATCGTAATAAAAATGTGTACATATATTTTTTGCTGATTTGACAAAAAATAGGTATAATTTTGATTCAGTCACACCAGACAGCTGTTGTTGTGTTGGCTGCTGCCATTTTTTTAATTTGACAATCTAAAGGAAAAGAGGCCAGTGCCCCGGACTAAACAAATAGTCAGGTACTGCATGCTTTAAACATTCCTGCAGCCCACAGGTGGAAAATCGCTGACCTAGATGACTGCTGTTCATCCTTCAAATCTCATCTTAAAAGCAACTTACTCAGGGAAGTCTTTTGTGATCACCACCGAGCCAACCCTCAGACTCAGTGAAGTCCCTCTCTGTTAGTTACTCATATGGCTTGGGCACTTTCCCTTTAAGATAAATGGTGTTACGTAATTGTTTACAGTCTGTCCTCACTAGAGTGAAAATTTAATGAAGGCAGGGGTACATGTCTTTCTTACTCTTGTATTCCAAAGACCGAGTGCATGACTTACCATCTCAGTCAATAATTATGTGATGAATGAACAATGAATGAATGGATGAATATAAAAATCTATTTTATAATAATGTAAAATGAGGACTGTACAATAAAAATATTTTTATTATAGAGTTTAAAAAGAGATCTTTAGAGATTAGCAGATCTACAGCAGGCAATCATATTCTCAGCAATAGTTCCAGTCTGTCGGAAGACCTGGGTTCAAGTTCTAATGTAACAAATATATAACAATCATATATAACACATTTCACTGTACTTTCATTTCCTCAACTGGCAAATGAAGAAATAACAAAAATACCTGTACCATGTAACTCACAGGGCTATTTTAACAATAAATGCAAACGATGTAGCACACAGAGTCTTTTAAATGAAAATATAGTAACAGTAGCAGAATTGTAGCAAAAATAGAAGTACTTCTTGGTAACATAACAGTGGTAGTTCCAGTGCTAGTAGTGTTCTTCCTTCTGATCAGAGAAAAACAATAATGGGTTGCAGAGTGACTTTTAAAATATTTTTCTTTTCACTTGGCTTCATATAAGTCATTTCAAGGCATGAGGAAAGGTATTTTGCTATTCTGTTCAGGTCAGGAAATGAGGCTCAATGATTATGAAAAAAAGGAAAGAAATGCTTTTAAGAACCAATCACTTGCTAGGCACTATGTCATGTATTTTACATTTATCATATCATTTAATCCTCGTAAAAACTTTTTAAAATAGGCATTGTCTCCATTTTGCAGGAGAAAAGTAAGACTCAGAGAGGCTGTGAAATCTTTAAGGCCATCCCCCTGGAGACAGCACTTCCACAGTCACGGCCTCCGCTTTGCCATCACCAGTACCCAGCCCTCTGCTCCGATTCCAACTCAGTCACCTGTTCTCTGACCCACACTTCCTGTCTCCCCTCACCCCCTCAGGGTCTTGACTCTAATGATCACTGAGTCCTGCCAGAACTCACAACCCATTTGGTCCCACCCTCCTGTCTCGGCCCCTCACCCTGCCTGGCTTCACGGACCACCATTACAGTTGCTCCCTTACATCACATTCCCTCCTGTGGCCCTGGCTCTCTTCTCTTTCCATCATTAGAATCTACAAGTTCCCACATTGGTTAAATCCCAAATTCTGTTTATATCATACAGATGTTTGTGCAGCAGAATCATGCTGCTGAGAAAACCATAATCATGCTGCTTGGTCTCACCCTCGGTTGATGTCAGTACGTCCCAGCAGGGCCTTGGTGCTACTAGCCAGCAGCCGGCTGTATTCCTCGGCCCACTTATTCTCTCTCTCTTCTACATAACTAGTTTCCACCTCTCCTGTCGTCCCAAACCTAGGCCCAGAAATACAGTGCTGCACGTCAGGACTCTAGAAATGTGATAAGTTCATCATCTAAGATTAATTTATACAGCAACTGATAACAAGGGGAAAGCATGGTGTTTAATAAGTAAGTGTTCACATATTGTTCTTGACAGGATGGGACAGCATCCCGCGCCCACGTAACAGAGGTAAGGGCAGGCAGGGTGACTGACTGCAGTGCAGTCAAGGTGTGGTGGGAGCTGCAATACAAAGGCAGCTGGACGAGCCTGGGGGTGGGGACCCAAGACGAAAGGAGAAACAGCCAGAGATGAGGGGAGAAAGGAGACCTGGAGCCAGGTTTCTTCATGGCTTCGAATGTCATACATTTTTTAAATTTTGTCCTATTGGTAAGGAGACACAATAGATTTTCAAGCAGGGGAATAACAGTTGGCCTATTTTACAAAGACATCCAGATAGTTGGTGGTACTGTAGCAAATGAAAGTGTGAAAGGGGAGACTGCAAGCAGAGAAGCAGCAACATAACATTATTTTTAAAAAACTACAACAATGTGATCTAGAAAGAAGTGAAAGTTGGAGGCAGCTGACCTTTTGGTTTCCAAGATAAAGAGCCAATAAAACATATCACCATTACTATTTTATAGGCAATATTTAAAGACAGGGATCTAGATAAGAGTCCTTGAAACAGTCTCTAGAGAACTGAGAGGACTTTGAGAAACATTTACATAGAGAGAACTTGCTGTGGTTCGAATGTCTGTCTCCCAAAACTCATATGCCCCAAGGGGTGATGGTATCAGGAGGTGAGGCTTTTGGGAGGCGATGAGGTCACAAAGCAGACCGGTGCCCTTATGAAGAGGGCCCACGGGGCTCCTCACCCCCTTCCCCAACATGAGGATACAACCGGGAGTTGAGGAGCTGCAGCTCAGAGAAGGGACTTCACTAGAACCCCACCACACTGGCGCCCGGCTCGGACTTCCCGCCTGCAGAATTGTGAGAAATAAATTTCCGTTTTTATAAGCCCCCCAGTCTGTGGAAGTTGGTTACAGCAGCCTGAACAGACGAACACAGAAATGAAAACCTGTCCTCAAAAGATTTTTAAGAAAGGTCCAAGAAAAAAGCAGTGTTATAGAAGTTCAGTTTCCAGGCAAATAAAGATGGTTTAATGACATTAAATGATGCATGTATTGTCAGACTGGCAAAAATTTTATTTTTAGTATTTTTTATGTATATCAATTTTATTTTTTAATTATATTTTACTAATTATGCTATTACAGTTGCCCTGGTTTTTCCTCCTTTGCCCCCTCCACTCAGTACCCCCACTCCCTCAAATAATCCCCATACCATGTCCATGGGTCGTGTGTATAAGTTCTTTGGCTGCTCCATTTCCGACACTGTCCTTTACATCCCCACGGCTAGTCTGTAACTCGTATTGGTACTTCTTAATCCTCCCACCTCTTCACCCATTTCCCCCGCACCCCCCTCCTATCTGGCAACCATCAAAACCCTCTGATCCATGATTCTGTCTCTGTTCTTGTTCAGACCAGCAAAAGTTTTAAAAGACTGATCACATGCCCTGCTGGCAAAAAAAATTAAAAGGAACGAACAATTTCAAATCAAATTACAAGAAATGTTAAATACAGGGTAGGGCAAAAGTAGTTTTATGGTTGTTTATATGGAAAATAATACAATAATGAACAAATAATAATACAAAATAAACTCTGTATTTTGTGTACTCACAACTGTAAACCTATTTTGCCCCAACCTGTATATTGATAGAGTTGATGAAGGATAATTTATAATATCAACATTTTAAATATATAAACGGTCTGACCCAGCACTTCCCCCACTACAGATTTACCCTATAAATATACTTGCACAGTCCACAAAGACATAATAACTATGTGCACACATGAGTTATCCACTGCAGCACCATTTGTAAAAGTAATAACTAAATAACCACCAACAGAGCAACAGGTAACAAAACTACAACTCGCTCACACTATGGCACAGACACGGCCATTGAAAAGCACGTGGGACCTGCCCACACTGACATAAAAGGAGGCCTAGACTCCTGCAAGTGAGTGTGAGAACAGGGGGGAGTTCCAGAAACATGTGTGTGTAATGATTCCAGTCCTTTAAAGACACCAAAACTGGGTATGCCATGCATCACACAGGAAAACACGGGAGAAAAGACCATACGCCTTCAGCGGCGGTCCCTCTAAGGGAGCGGAAATGCAGGGGGAGCCGCCTGGGAAAGAAGCGGGGACAGTACTTCATACTGTTGCACGTGCCACAGACGTGCATTTCTTGGATAAGGAACTTTAAACTACCAACACAAATGTACTTACAAGAAAAGTTAAAAGGAAAATGTAAAATGACTAGAATGAAAACAAACTCCTAATAAACAAACAAACAAAAAAATCCTTGGCAATTGCCATTCCCGCCCTCAATCCCGATCTTTCCATATTGTCTTTTTTCTCAATGCTGCCACCACCCTCTCAGCTGCCTAAGTTAAACCTAGGAGTCACTCTACAGTCCTTCCTCTTCCTCCCCTGACTTCATTCTTCAGTCAGCGAATATTGATCGAGTGCTTTCTATGTTCCAAGATCTATTTTAGATACTGAGAAGACTACTTTGTAGTTTGGGTGTTATAGAAAATCATGGATACTTTGTCTCAAAGCAAATTTGACAAACACAAAAAACAAAACTGCCAAATCAAATGCAAGTCCTCTAGCTCCAGTTTTCTAAGCATCTCTGAAACCTCCCCCACAACCTAGTTTCTATTATAATTTTCATGGTTATGATGAGAGATGATGAGGGATTAAACTTCTGCAATTCTATCCTTTCCAGTCTCCCTTACATCCATCCCTTTAATCCACCTTCATACTATCACTAAATGAAGATGAACATGTTATTCCTCTTGTGGAAATTTTTCAATGGGTCTATTATCCTCTGAGTAGAAAAAGAAATTCTGTGATGTGCAAAGTCCTTCATAATGATACAACTCCTCTCAAGTTCCAACCCAGGAACCCCCAAACCCCCAGAATTATCTTCTGGAGCTGGGGCCCTTTGTAGTACAAGCTTCCCCTGCTAAGTGAGTGTTTGAGGGACCCATCTGTATCAGTGCACCAGCTGGCCTTGTTGTGAGAGGCTCCATTCGGCTTCAGCGAATTTTTTTTGAAGACTCTTTCAATATGTTTGCCCATTTCATGATGGGCAATTTATGAGCACACTTGCTCACACCACGCTGAGTGCTCAGCAGTTTTGGACCAAAGCCCTGTGCCTCATCCTCCCTATTCACCCAGTCTCACTGGGAGCAACTGTTTTTTTGTTTCCCTGAATGAAAAAAGTCCTCAAAGGGAAACGTTTTGCTGATGTGCAAGAGATGAAACAAAAACCGGCAGAAGCACTAAAAGGCATCAAAATCGACAAGTTCAACAACTGTTTTGAGCAGCAGAAAAAAGTCTCGATAGGTGTACTGCATCCAATGGAGAGTACTTTCAAGCTGACTGAAGTTTAAACATGTAAGAATAAATACACAATTTTTTATAAATAAATTCCAGGGATTTTTGGGTCCCCCTCATACTTCACAGCAGCCACACTGAACTGCTCTTCGTTATCTAACATTCACATTTTTCACGCCTCCATACCTTTAAGGAATTACTCCTGCTTGGACTTACTGTTGCACAGCCCTGGCAACTCCTGCTTAGTTTTCCTCTACGCTGCCAATGCACCTACACTACTCCCGCCTGCTGAGACTGTGCATGGGGCTGTCTCCTGCAGGCTCCTTCGGGGCACGCACCGTGCCCTCCGGTCCCTGACCCTGAAGTCTGCTTCCGCAGCCAGCATGCAGCCGGTAGTTCACACCTACCTCGTGGATAAAAAACGAATGAATGAACGACTGCGTGTTTAAATGGCTGTGTAATCCTGAATGAGGCACGTAACCTGAGATTTAGTTTTCCAGTATACAAAAAGTGTCATTTATATAATTTATATGAGTATGTTCCTCCTGGAGTCGTTTCACAGATACTGGCAAGTCCACAAGAAAATCTCTATTTTCACATTCCTGTTTTCCTTTATTATTCTATATGGCAACTATGGACACTACTATTTATAGTATCACAAGTTAGTATTTATAGTATTCCAAGTTAGCAGTCATCCCTGCAGTTCCGAAGAACTATTAGGATTTCTCCTGTACTTTCAGTTTTCTGGCCTCGTTAAGGAATTACCTGAGACGCAGATCACGATCTGATGGTTTCACACACAGACCTCCGACCACACACTTGAGCATGAGTTTTTAATGGCCCTGGGTTTTCTGCTGTTGTCTCATGGCATTAGTTTTAACGCCAACGAGAGGGCAAACCCCGATATACGTCTTTGACTTTTGGCTCCCTCAACACTAAGGACAGTCTTCAGCATGACAGCCAGTAAGTTCTTCCAAATTAACCTCAAAAAGATACTAACTTAAGACAAGACTGCAAATACTTTAGAGATATCCACAGGTTACTGAGGACAGAATCTATATTCTGTTGTCATTTACTTTCTTTAAAGTGTGTATGGAAAATATTGACTAGCTAATTTCTGGATACCTGATTTTTAAATCAATCAGTCAATCTGGATACCCTGTTTATAAACAAACAAACTTAGAAACTCTGTTCCCCTGTGCTCACAAAAGCTCATCTTCCCAGATTCAGTTGTTCTGGAACAAAGAGTCAGCCACCACAGTTCCTTTATCTCCATCTGGCTTCATCACCTCTGCACCGTGTTTCCTCTGTAGGTCGCTGAGGAAATCGTTTGTTTCACTGTCATCAACTATTTAAATTCCATATGTGGGTATTAATTAAACAAGTGCAACCTTGGCCTAAGACATAAAATGATCTATTTTACACAGATTATCTACCTATGTTGTGAACATTGACATCTTTTATAACGTTGACATTGTCTAAAAACAGCAGAATAAAGCAGCAGCTAAAAAACCTGTGGTCGGCCCTATCCACACGGGACACGGCTCGGTGCGGCCGTCTGCTGAAGAAGCAGGAAGGGCTTCGTGCGTTACCTGCAGTCGCTCCGATCCTCAGCCTTTCCTCCAGGCCACTCTCTCTTCAGATACTGGCTAGCCAGCTTCTGGATACCCTGTTTAAAAAATACACATTTTTATAAAATAAGTATCATGTTGTAAAGGAGACTCTTTTCCTAAAATATAGTGCTTAGTAAATCCTATCTTTCCAAATATAAATTTAGTTCTGAAATAAAGAATCAGTGTTGAAGGGTGGAACATTGTTATCTTATTTCATTCTTGTCACAGTCTTCTCTCGTCTCCATTTCTAGGAAAAGGGCGAGTGTCAGGATGAGAAAACCGAACACTGATGGGCATTGTTTCTTCACCGAACTATCTGACCGGCCGTAAGGACACATCCGGCGCATCACGAGGATGGCGCTGCCACCTCCGCAAGGCCGACCCCGCATGTCCGCTGCCCCCGTGCTGCGCTGTGCACTGCACTGCTGAATTCCAGCAGCCGAGTTTTCACATACCAGGAATGGTGATAACATCTGGATCAGACAGACAGACAGACAGACAGACACACTGGCTTGTCAAAAAAATCAGGGAATAAACCTTGGTGTTGCCAACACTTTGGAAAAGTATGCCAATACTTTTCAAGACAGATTTTAAGGGCTGCTGGCTTTTTAAATAACACCATGGCACAAGTCACTTCAAATGAAAACAATCGTTTCACAATGAAATTCGCCCACCAATTTACTGTTATCCATACAACATGGAACTGGAAAAAACAGAATATTTACCTATAATAGGAATTGGGGGCGGTATCAGGATTTGAACAGAGAAGACTATTTTGTTCCCAAGTGAGGTTAAACCACTCATTCCAAATACAGAACACATTGTTTCTATTTTTTTAATTTTTTAAAAATATTTTACTTTTTAGAGAAAGAGGGAAGAAAGAAGAAAGAGAGGGAAAGAAACATTAATATGTGGTTGCCTCTAGCACGCCCCCCACTGGGGACCTGGCCCACAGCCCAGGCATGTGCCCTGACTGGGAATCAAACCAGTGACCCTTTGGTTCGAAGGCCAGCACTCAATCCACTGAGCTACACCAGCTAGGGCCATACTGCCTTTCAATGGGAACATATGGGGTCCTCTAATACTGTATTGGGGCCCAATGTAATGGATAATAACAAATGACTTCAAGATGTTCATCTCTATACATACAATTTTAAAAGAATAAATAAATGCTGAGATAAAGAGCAATCACATTAATTGATTGCATACTTTAAGCAGAGATTGCCCAGGTAAATTTACTGCTGAGTTCTCTATATGATATCTTCCTACTAAGGTTTGCTGCCAGATCAATTTGGCTTCATGAAATCCATTGTTGAATGCTTCTGTTTACCGCTTCAATGAGCCAAAGAGCAGCAGGAACTGTAGAGAAGCTCCTTTGAATCTCAGGTTCCTTCCAAACTTGGCAATTGTTTAGTTTCACTATTTCCAGGGACTGTGAATTCTAAGAACATACATATAACTGCATATCCAAGATACTGCCACTTATGTACCTTATACTTTGGGGAAACCAATTACCAAGTCTTCCCTCAATATATACAGTATTTTTTTCACTTCCACACCTTGTTTACCCTGTTCCTATTTGCGGTAAACATTTTTCCACCACTCCCATTCCTTCCGGCTGAATTTTCACTGCTCTTCCTTTAAACTTATTTTAAAGTTTTCTAACACAAAATATTCAAAGCTTATATGACAATGTGAGAAATTTCATTATCTAGGTATTTCATTTCATGGAAGTAGAAGAGTTTATCATTCTTTCTTCATTCATTAGCTAAAATTCTTTTTAAAGAACAATCTCTTTTTGAACAACTTGGTTATCTCAGAGGAAAGGTAAAATAAATATTTCATTGTCCTGTTTTGGTCCTAAGGTAGACAATGACTTTTCCAAGTTGCATTATGAACTCATATATTTTGAATAAAAGGTATGTTTCCATTTACTGCCATCATTATTCTTTTCGCGTGTCAACTGTAACACCTGCGGTCAGTGGGCGTCCCTCCAAGTTGGTTCCCATGTCATGTGACCACAACAGGTTTTGATAGTTTCTTGCTTTCTTTTGCAGTTCTTATTCCAGATCTTCAGTAAACTAGTTTTCCAAGGCATTCGGAGTCCATTCAGAGACAAACCATACTCAGAGACCACACTGTAAACCCTTCCTCATCCTCTAGGTGTTACTTTATGTCTTTTTCTACGAGGCCTCTTCTAATCACTGTATACAAAGTACCTCACCTTCTAGCCAATTATTCTCTCCTATACTGCCCTAATCATTCATAATCCTTATTACACTGTTACTGTCTGGTTTAAATATTATTATTTTTAAAGACTTTATTTATTTATTTTTAGAAAGAGGGGAACGAAGGGAGAAAGAGAGGGAGAGAAACATCAATGTGTGGTTGCCTCTAGCACACCCCCTACTGGAGACCTGGCCTACAACCCAGGCATGTGCCCTGACTGGGAATCAAACCAGTAATCCTTTGGTTAATAGGCCAGTGCTCAATCCACTGAGCCACACCAGCCAGGCTAAATATTATTTTACCTGTCTACTAACTATAAACTCCATTAGGTAGAAATCTTGTCTTTTTTTTTTTGTCACTATGTCTCCAGGCTATAGCAGCAAAGAGCCTAACATTTAGTTGATGCCAATAATATTCACTTACTGCATGAATAAATGTCACCTACAGTATTTTATTTCTAATGTATAATACCCACACTCCTTTGTGTTTTTACCATTCTCAGTTACAAATGTTTGAGTCAGAATTTCCTTGGACCTTAATTTTCATATGTTCAAAGGAGGGGGGCGCCGGGGGAATGAGTCCAGACTTCTAAGATTATGACCAGGTAGTTTTAATATAAGAAACAATTTCCTTGGAAAATTACAGTCAAATTTGACATTCTTCACTACTGGAAGAGAACATGTGTGTATACTACAAAGCAATGAAGAAAAATAACAAGTTTATTCCAAAGTTAGCACTCCACATTAATTTTTTGTGAAGGTTCAAATGAGTCACATTCCCTGAATTCAAAGAACTCGTGGCACGTGGACAGGAACAAGAGTGTGCAACATAAAATGGGAGGCAGCACACAGGCCACTGTCAAATAAGTGACAAGATGTGATGTAAGCACAGAGATGAGGCAAAGAGCATCTGATATTTACTGAAGTTACATCTAAATGAGCCCCGGTGGGTGAGGCACAATGGATGCCACCAGTCCGACTCCGTCTGGGCACACACCCGGGTTGCGGCCAGGCTGGGGGGGGGCAACCAGAGGCAACTCCCAGTTGTTTCTCTCCCTCTCTTTCTCCCCTCCTTCCCCTCGCTAAAAATAAATCAACAAATAAATAAATTTTAAAAATCTTAAAAAAAAATGAACCGGAACCTCCTTATTATACAAAAAAAATTACATCTAAAGATACGTGACTTTTTTCAGTGTAATCACTGCGAAAGTGGTTAGAGCGCACTTCATACAGAACATGAGCTATGAGACGAGCCTCAGATCATGAGCAGGACTGAATCGTATAGAACAAATGAACTTAACAGGCATTTCAAAACATTTACTCCTCTGAACTCTGTTAGGCTTTGCTAGAACCACAGAAAAATCAGACACTAAGAGGATACAGAATTTACTTAAGACCACATAACCAGTTATATTTCAATTCAGAACTGAGTTATTCTAAATCTCTGCAAAAATGAAAAAAAAACCCACCATTTCAGTGTGGATTTTATCTAAATCTTTAAAAAATTCTTAAATTACTTTATCTTTTTTGTGCATTGTAAGTCACAACAGCAATTTCTAGAGCTCTGCACCACAAAGTGGAACTGTATTAAGCTGAATGAGCCCTTCAGAGATGAGATGAGGGATTCATGAAATAGACAAACAGTGAGCCCTTTAGATGAAAGACTTTATTCAAGTTGGTTCACAGAGGCAGGAATCGTGGCTTCTGTGAGCTCTGTGCAGCTGTCCAAGATCTCATCTGCAGGGACGCTCAAGAAACGCTCTGTGGCCATTACAGGAAAAGTCCTAAACAGCATTTCATGCCTCCAAAAGCATCCTATACTTAATTGGTTTCCCTTTTATGTTATGCTTGAAGATACATCTTATAAATGAAACTTATTTATGTAGATATAAAATCTACCTGAATTAAGTGGCTAAGGAAAATAAATATATGGCTATTTCAAAAAGTATTTTTGTTTTTAAAATCACTCCCCTAGTCCAGGACAATACTCTCTAAAACTGGCGCACTGGACTTATAAGTGTATTTACATTTACCTGAGCATCACTCACATATAATGTTGACTTGATTTCCCAAATGCAGTTTACTCTGGGTCAGTGGTTTCCATAAAAAGGTGCCATCAATACACTCTTTAGAACATCCAATAATATCCCATTCCAACCTTTAAAAAAGCCATCAGTGTCTTCTGTAAGACCTGCTTTGTTTTATCTCTCAATATTGCTCTAACAAGTGAGGCAGCACAAAGAAAGCCACTGTTCAGCAGACACTGGCAAATGGACCGATGGCTTAACCTTCTGACTATTTACATCAGCAGGCTGAGCAGCAGCGTGCTCTGTGGCTCTCGCACAGGTTACTCTGTATCCATTTCTCCCCCTAACCAACAGACAGCTGTACAAAATTACAGAAAATGTTACCTCTATACTATAACTTTCCAATTCTCAACATTATGCAAACGACATTTACAAATTAACATAAGTTGGACACTTCTTAGGCTGATGTAAATTATACAATTGTCTTTACTACTACTAAGTTAGTTTATCAAAAATAGAGAATGTCACCTCCATGCTTAAGGAAAGTTCTGAAATATTTTTCATTGCCCTATGTATCTCTTCCACCTGCCTGCTGCTGAGTTACAGCCCCAATTAGAAGACCACTGCATGAGAAGATCCTGGGAAGAGGGCGAAATAGGAAGCACCAGGAATCTGTCTCCTAACTCAGACAACCAACTCAAAGACAGAACCTGTCTCATAACCGTTTTGGACTTCTGAAGTCCCTTAAATGCTTGCTACTTCCAGGAGAATGCTCGGACTGTAAGTGAAGTAAATTTTGGCCTATCTCTTTACAGTGATCAAGCCCCCGCTCCCAGCCCAGTGGCAGGCAGCACCTGCTCCTGGAGCAGACTGAATGCAGGGAGAGCAGTAAGGGGCTTGTCCTCCAGATATCACAGATCTGTGCTCTGACCACTGATCACTGCTTCTGATCAAGGAGGTGGGGGCAGAGAGGTGGGCAGCCACTGTTGCACCCCTGTTCTCCACTGAAGAAAAGTAAACCGAGCCTGAGGAACCCTTGGAACACCATCACACAGACCAACAGATGCACTGCAGGAGTACTAGAAGGAGGAGAGAAAGCAGGCAACAGAGAGATTATAGGAAGAAATAGTGATCAAATTTGACAAATGTCTTCTTGTCTAGAATATAAACAGGCAAGAAAGAAGCTCAATGAATTCCAAGTAAGATGAACTCAAAGACCCACAGTGAGACACATTGTAATCAAACTGTCAAAAGCTAAAGACCAAGAGAAAATCTTGAAAGCAGCAACAAAGAAGCAAATTGCCACATACAAGGGCTAAACAGTAAGCTTATCAGCAGATTTCACAACAGAAATTTGGGAGGGCAGAAGACAGTGGACCCAAATATTCAAAGTGCTAAAAGAAAGAAATGGTCAATTAAGAATACTATAACCAGCAAAAGCACCCTTCACAAGTGAGGGGGAAATTAAGGCATTTTCAGATAAACAAAATCTGAGGGAGTTTGTAACCACTAGGCCTGTTTTGTGAGAAATGCAGGGTGAGGGGAAGAACACTAGACGTAACCTGAAGTTATATCAAGGAATAAAAGCAAATATAGGGGCAATTACAAAAGCTTGTATTATTATAAAAGTGATCTGTAACTCCACTTTCTGTTTTCTACATAATTTAAGGGAGTAACACTTTTTAAAAATTGTTAGTCTAAAAACTAGCATCACTGTTAGATTTAGTATGTCAATCCACATTTGGCATTTACTAATGCACTAAGAACCAATCTTTTGTTTGTTTTTGCACATCCAATGTACAAAGATGTAATTTTTGACATCAATAAATAACAAGGGTGGGGATGAAACTGTAAAGGAGGAGAGTTTTTGCATGCTTCTGAAGTTAAGCTGGTATAGATTCAAAGTAGAGTGTCACAACTTTAGAATGTTAAATGTAACCACAAAGAAAAAAGCTATACAATATACACAAAAGGAAATCAGAAGAAAATTAAAACATTTCATTTCAAAAAACTCAACACAAAAGAGACACTATTTCAACATGACAGAAATACCTCCTTATCAATAATTACTATACATGTAAATTAAATGGATTGAACTCTCCATTCAAAATACAGATGGCAGAACAGATATAAAAAACCACTATCCAACTATGTGCTATCTACAAGAGACTCTTCGGGTCCAAAGAAGACTACCGCAGTATTTGGGTAGAAATAATAACATCTTCAACTGTGGTAGAGGCCCTAAGACAGAACTAGGCAAAAAAAAAATATATGTCACAGAGAAAATTGACCTGACTGGTAACAGTCTATCTAGCTATGGAAAAGGTAAGAAGGATGGAGACAACAAAAATGACTCTTTGGAGTTTGACCTCATACAACTGGATGGATGATGGTATATCCTGCAGGGAGGGGGAGGCTGTTTAATTACAGAAAAAGTTGTTGGGCTAGAATATAAATAATACTAGGCTTAGCAGAAGTATAAGGAAAGAGGAAAAGCCACTATCTCTCCTAACGTGATATGTCTCTCCTAACGTGATATCTATGTGAACTTGAGTATATGAGAACTAGAATTGAAAGAACAAACAGGAATTGGACCAACTGAGAAAGGAAGCATAACTCAGGTGGAAAACTGGTGATGGGAAAAATAGCAGGGGAATGTGGAGATGGGGCGGCGGAGCAAATCTGAACTCATACGCATCCAGCTTGTTCTTTGAGGCTGATGCTTATACACACAGCAAATTGTTTTTGTTAGTGCCCAGGAGATATCTACTCTCAAAGCAGTTTTACACAAAGTTGTTCTCTTTAAGAAACACTCTCCAATATCATTCTTTTACTCATTTCAGAATAAAAGCACTATTACTACCACAGTACTAATAAAATCATTACAACACATTTAAAAAGATATTTCCTTGGAACTGTGGTGTATCATCTTAAGTTAAATCACTACACTTACACAAAACACACAGCCTTGGCTTTTATATACATAAGAGACATAAAAGCATCTGCCTGAACTCTGCTTACTACTCCCCTGAATATTGTGACAATTTCATAAGAGCAAGTATGTATATGAATCTTGTTGGACTTAAACAGAGAGGAAGTGTTAAATGTCCAGTTTATACGATGCTGTTGCCAATATGAGAATACGACTTGGAGGTCTGTTGGATAAGAGGCATATTCCTCTGAGGAGGCACAAGGCCAAATCCACCCGATGCTGGATCTCAAATGTCAGCTACTCCATCATTTTCAAGTTTACATCAGTGATTTTCACCCCTCCAGTCTTGTTTTCTCCTACAGAGCCCCCCTTTTATTCCCAAAGAAATGTATAAGCAAGCTTTAATTTAAATGCAAGTTTTAAGAGAAAACCCTACTAATTAAAAGGCACGGACTCGGCTCACCCCTACTAGTTTAACGGCTTTCGCTCCAGTTTCCACTTTGCAGGTCTGGACTGTTTAACCAGGACATGATGGCTACACTTTCATGAATGTTTTTCCTTCCCCCACATTTTGTGAAATTTTCTTTCCAAATTACTGGAAGCTATTACTAAGAAAAGCAGCATTTTTCCACTATGTGTTACGGTCATTTTCTAATACAGATTAATATTATTTGTCGATAAAAACTGAATCTGGGGGGTTATTTTATAATATTGAAACATCAATTAAAATATAAATTATGGCTTATCAATTTTTAGAGCAAAATCTATGTAATTTTGGCTTAATAAGAACATTAAAAAGTCACTAAACATTGTAAAATTTGTAATTTGTTTCAATATTTTGTTAACATTATGTTTCAAGACCTAGATTAACTGAAAACTATTTGTATGAAATGTATACCCCTCTGACAGGAAGGTTTCAGTCGGGGGCAGGGGCAAGCCAGTTGCTGTTGTTCTTCAACAGTAAGAAAAGTGTTAGACTGGTCGGCCTGGCTGAACTGCCCACTTGACCTCAAGGCAGCTGTAAAAGCAGTTCCTTCTTTAGAGCAGAAACAGGAAGGTATCAAATCAAGAAGCAAATAACAATTTCAAGTGCCTGAGCCTTAGTTACTTCAAAACAGTGCACTTTTCATTAGAGAATGTCATCTGTAAATCAGGTTAATCAGATGAAAACCGCTGTGCGGTGAGACACGAAGGCAAGCAGACCGGGCGCTGTTGGAAGGCCCTCGGTGTGCACACGCTGCTCCCGCACACCCCGCGCTGCGGGCCGCCCACTCTGGGGGCCACGGGCTGCATCACGGGCTGCGGTCTCAGCCCTGACAAGGACTATACTTGTGAATGCGGGCAGGCCACTGACCTCACCTCTGTCTTATCATCTGTAAAGTAAGGACGATACTTCGGTAGGTGAATGGATAAACTGTCACATATCCAGACAATGGAATGTTATTCAGCACTAAAAAGAAGTGAGCTATCAAGTCACGAAAAGACACAGAGGAACTTTAAATGCCTTGTGCTGTGTGGAAAAAGCTGATCTGAAAGGTATGTACTGCGTGACTCCAACTATATAACATTCTGGAGAAGGCAACATATGGAGACAGAAAAAGATCAGTCATTTCCAGGGGTTATGTGGGGAGGAAGAAACAAAGGGGGGGGCACAGAAAATTTTTAGCACAGTGAAACTATTCTGTATGATACGGTAATGCCAGACGGATGTCATTATCATTTGCCAAACACCACAAAATGTGCAGCACCGGGAGGTGACCCCAGTGTGGACTTTGGGTGGTGATGATGCGTGGATGCAGCTTCCGTGGTGTGACAAACGCAAGGACCCTCTGGTGCAGGCGTCGGCAGTGGGGGGTGCCTGCGTGCGTGGGGCCTGAGGACATGTGGGAGCTCTGAACTTTCTGCTCCAAATTACTATAAACCTACAACTGCTAAAACTTAAAGTGGATTTTAATAAGTATAACACCCTCTATCTCAAATGACAGTTATAATAATCAAAGGAGATGACGTACACCAAGTACCTGAGGTGGGTACTACAGGGGCTCCAAACGTCTCCCAGCAGCACCCAGTCCCTCACTCATTCACATGTGTTCAGTGAGAACTAAGGGACGTGGTCACAGCCGTAGCCATGTAAATGTTGCTCCCGAATAACTGGCAAGTGATTTAAAGAAATGTTCACTAATTCATCGACCACTTATTTGATATCGTGATTTTTCTTAAATAATATGAGTATAAGGTCTATCAATTACGAGTTGATTCTCACATGAAAACTCAATTCAGTTGGTCATTATGTACAAGGAACATCCACACCATCATGTTTAAGTTTTTTAAAAACTGAGAAATTTCCTATTACAAGCTGAATGTAAATGACAAAATTAGTTAACATATAGTAATGTACACATTATTGGACAAACCCTTCCTAAATGAGTAAAGAGATTAATTATCAATGAATAATTGAAAATGAATGAAGTAGGACTGGTTAGTATTTATTTCAAGATCACAGATATTTCTTCCTCCTTTACTGACTTTAAATATTTCATTAATTATTCTACATAAGTGAAACGGACTCCTAGAAAACAGACATTTAATTTATAATTTATAGAAGGATGACTACAAATCATTTTGAAGTTTCTTTTCAAATCCTCACATTCCTAATTAATATTCATGAGAGCAATTTCACAAAAGCAGATACAAAACTACGGGGTGTGGAAATATGTCATTGGCCAGTGGAATATGCAAGAAATTTCTCTCTCCCCAAGATGCAAGATTGAAGTTCAACACAAACATTTCCTAATTAACAGTTTTATAATATTTAATCAAATCATTCATGAGTCAGAAACAACACTGTGGAGAACCAGATAATAATGCTGCACCACGGCCAAGCCCATTTGTTCTGGACAGGTGGCCAGTCTGCGGCCCTGCGTGCGCAGCCCAAACCCGCCCACAATAGCCCTAAAGACGATTATGCAAATACCAGCCAACCCAGCTATTTTCCCAGGAACAGGAGAAGGGCTCCTAGAAGCTATAATTGTTCCGCAGTCATGTGGAAAAGCAAGCAGGCTTTTTTTTCCTGGAAGCAGAGTGTTTTCATTAAGGGTACAACTATAATATGTGTGAGATATACAAATAAACACACACACAAACACACATCATTAAAAGACCTGAAGGAACCCTCACCCACATCACTGAGTGAAAGAAGGCTACACCCTGGGCTGGGGTGGGAGGCGTGTCCGCCTGCACATGTATGTGCACTCATGCACAGCGTATTACACGCTCAGCCCCCAAGCTCTCCTTGCGAGGCAGCTCTGCCTCCTTAACAATACCAAGTGTCCTCTGAGGCTTACACCTTCCCTTGCCAACATGATATGTACAGTAATGCATTAACTTTGACCAGTGCATCTTGTGAATATGAAATAAATATTCTCTGGCCAAGCTGGGGTAAGAACCATTCTTACTCCACATATGTAAAGCATTTTTCATTTTCACCCAGGGGCATAAAGATACAGGCTGAAGGTGGAGACCCATCAGGTTTGAAGCACAGCACTGGTGCAGTAATGCTGCTACCTAGGATTTATTTATTAATGCTATCTCAGCATAGTTTTGGGGGTTTTGCTTTTTATTTTTAAAAGTAGTCAGATTCCTTAGTTTCTAACTAGCAATTTTTAAGTTACCTGCTCTAACACCGGATTTCAATTCTCTCTGGAATTAAAGTTACTTCAAATATTATTGCTGTTGGATTAAAAACAGTATTTTTTCCTTTTTCCTACCTCTCTTTATGTATTCATCCCTTAAATCCATCCTCTGTAAGATGAAGGGACATTACCTGCTTTATTTATCAAGAGGCTAAGATGCTGCTGCTTCGTATACTTATACGGCACTCAGCAGCATCCAGAAATCTTGTCGTGCTATTTAAGGGAGGATTTTTCTCAAAAGCTTAAAAACAGATTATGATATTCTTCATAAATATCAAATGCATATTTTTAAGATAAGACATTACCAATTTTTAAATGTTTAACTAAGAACACATGTACTCTTACATGTGTTCATTCAAAGGAATGAAGCGCACGCTACAGTGTGGATGAGCCGTGGAAACAGTATGCCAGGTAAAGAAGCCGGCCCCGGAAGACCACGCAGTGTATGAGTCCACCTACAGGAGGCGTCCGGACAGGCAAATCCACAGGTATAGGAAGTAAACTGGTGACTGCCCAGCGGTGGGAGGGGGGGAGGGAGTCACTGCTAATGAGCGCAGTGTTTCCTCTGGGGATGACAAAAATGCTTTTAAAAATTGATTTTGGTGATGATTGCACAACTCTGAATATATGAAACACTATTGAATTGTACACTTTAAAATGGTGAGTTTTATAGTATGTGAATTACATCTCAGTAAGGCTGTTGGTAATGCACACAATAGATGGGGCTTTATCCCCCTGCCTCTCTCTAAGGAAGTATTACACTTTCCCACCCCCGGATACCAGGCTGGCCACATGACTTACTTTGGCTGATGAAATGACAGTAGAATTGTTGTATTACACATACTTTTTCTAAGCAGGAGCTTTAAGAATTAGCACCTGATTTGCCATGTGCCATGCCTTCTTTTCCATTTACAGATATTCTGGAGCCTCAGAATGAAGATGATATATGGTGTCAGATGGGGACCAGACCTGCTGGTGTGATCACTTCGTAAGGTATAGAAATGTCTAATCACTATGTGTGCCCCCAAAACTAACATAATATTGTATATAAACTGTAGCCAAAAATCAAATAAAAAAAATAAAGCCACTAACTCAGTGGTCCAAGGAGAAGTCACAGTGGAGGTCAGAAAAGTTCTCCAACTAAACAAGTGAACATTACACAACAGGACTTACAGAATGCTCTCAGTTTGGAGGGAAACACATCCTTAAATACTTATGTTGACAAAGAGGAAAGTCCGAAGATCAACAAATCAAGCATTCCTGCCTTCTCCAAGAAGTTAAAAATAAGAATAGCTGACTAATTCCAAAGAAAATAAAAAGGAAATAAAAGATAAAATCATAAATGAATGAATAGAAAACATATAATGGAGAAGATCAACAAAGCCATAAGTTAATTCTGAAGAGACTATTAACACAGGCAACCTTCTGGTGAGGCTACTCAAAGGAAGCTGAGGCATAAAAAAAATCAACATTAGGAATGAAAAAGAAATTACAGAGCTGCATGTGATTAGAGAAAAATACCAAGTTATTATGAGCAATTTGCCAATAAATTTGACCAACGAACAAATTATAGGAAAAAAATGTTACTTTATCAAAATCTACATGAGAAAAAATAGATTAATCAGTTATACTGCCATTAAAGAAAATAAATAATTTTAAATTTTCACACAGAAAACTCTATCTAGGCTTCACACCACTTCACCAGTAAGAACTTCTGAACAATGAAGAAATAATTACAACTTAGAGAAATTCTTTAAGAAGGAGAAAGAGGGGAATAACCTCAAATCATTTTATAAAGCCTTGACATCAAAATTCAAGAAGAAAAAATATTAAAAGCAAAATTATAGTCCAATTTCATTCATGAACAAATGGAATCCAACGATGTATAAAAATGATAGAACATCAAGACTCAGTGTGTTTTATCCCAAGAATGCAAACTTGACTTAGTACTAGCAAAAAAAAAAATCAATATTATTTGCCATAAAAGTTTAAAATCATGTAACTGTCTCAATAGATAAAACAACTGATAAAATTTCAGCATCCATTCATGATCAAAATTCTTAGCAGATGAAGAATAGAAGGGAATACCATAAGCTGATAGATTAAAAAAAACAACTCTACAGCAATCCTCCTAGAATGATTAGATTAAAAGACCTTCCTTTGAGACCAGGAACAGGACAAGAGTGTTGCCTTCACCGTGGCACTGGAGGCATCTGACAGTGAGATAAGCCAGAAAACAAAATGAAGAGGTACAGGCAGTCCTCACTTTGCATGGTCCCATATGAATAAGTTTCAGTTACTTACAGGTTAAATTATCACTCCCCCAACAACACCATTTGAATTTTAGTTACTCATATGTTAAATATGAGTAGCTGTATAAAGTACAAAATTAACTGCTAGCTCTTTGGCCTACAAATCACTGCAAATGACAGCTGTATATCATGATCAAGGACCAATCACTTCACTTCTTTCAAAGCCTGTGAGTGATTAATCACTGTGTATCTGTTATTCAGTTCACACAGGCAGAGAAGACACAGCTATGTTGCCTCTTCTTACAGTGATAAACCCACATGACACTACAAAAATGAAGAACCAAAAGAGGGAATTAGCCAACAGAGACGAAAGTGCAGCTAAGAAACAAAAAGTGATGACGCTGGAGTGAAATTCTAACCAACTGTAAGTGTAGCTACAGAAGAAACAGCTGCCTGTGGGAATGTTGCTGGTGCTGCCACTGGGGGGACTCTGGGTGCACAGTCAGAGTGTGAAGGTGACCATACACGCAGAGAGTGAGTGTGGCTAAGTGGATGGTGAGAGAGAAAGAGAGGAAAAGAAAAAAGAATAGAGAAGAAAAAAAGAAAGAACGAGAAGAAGGAAGGAGGAAGGAAGCAAGGAAGGAAGGAAGGGAGGGAGGGAGGGAGGGAGGGAGGGAGGAAAGGAAGGAAGGAAGGAAGGAAGGAAGGAAGGAAGGAAGGAAGGAAGGAAGGAAGGAAGGAAGGAAGGAAGGAAGAAAGAAAGAAAGAAAGAAAGAAAGAAAGAAAGAAAGAAAGAAAGAAAGAAAGTCACATTACAAAAACTCTGAGATATTTCATGGCATAGAAAGGGCAAAGGATAAAGTCGGAAGCTAACCTAAGTATATAGAAAAGAGAAAAACAATTCACCAAGTCACAGATGCTAAAAAGACAATTGCAGATCCCTGGGTGGAGCTTCCAGTTTCTGGTTCCCCGTGTAAGGAGGCTGTAAGTCACCACACCATCCTAACAACAAGTAAAAAGCTGAAGAGACTGAAAAATCATCAGCTTTTCTTGGAGATGTAAGAGGGGAAGACACAAGACAAACCACTGCCCCAAGACTGGAGGCAGAACAGGTGAACACAGGGAGTCACGGGGTAACTGGTGCAGGCTCCAGAGCAGAAACCTCCCTAGAAACCAGCGCAGGTTAGGGAAACATGAACTGTAATTTGACAAACTGCTGGAGGCTCTATGTGAACGATTCTGAGTTACGAACTCCGGGGGGGCACAGTCATAGGGTGAACCCCTCTATACTGTGAGAATTACTTTCAGGAGCTCATCCAGGTTCCCATGGTAATATCAGAAGAAAAAAAACCCCACCTGCTCTACTAGGGGGAGGGCAAAGGGAACCATTATCAGATGAGACCAGGCGCGTTCAGGGTGGTACGGCCGTAGACAAAAGGAGCCATTACCAATATTGTCAAGATGTCAGTTCTCCCCAACTTGATCTATAGATTCAATGCAACCTCCATTAAAATTCCAGCAATTTGTCCTGTGGATAATGACAAACTGATGCTAAAGTTGACATGGATGGAGAGGCAAAAGACCCAGCACAGCCAACATGATATTGAAGGAGAAGAACAAAGGTGGAGGGCGACACTACTCACCTTCAAGACTCAATATAAAGCTACATTAATTAAGACAGTGAGGTGCTGGTAAAAGAATAAATACATCAATGGAACAGAAGAGAGAGTCCAGAAATACAGCCACATAAATACACTCAAGTGGTCTTTGATGAAAAAACAGAAAATGAAGCAAAAAAACATCTTTTCAGCCAATGGTGCTAGAACAACCCGATATCCACATGCAAAAAAACAAACAAAAAACCATGGAATTAAGACACAGACCTTACACCTTTCACAAAAATTAACTCGACATGGATCATAGACCCACATGTAAAATGCAAAATTATAGAACTCCTACAAGATAACTGAGGGGAAAACCTAGATGACCTTGAGTATGGTGATAATTCTTTACATATAACATGAAAAACAATTGATAAGCTAGACTTCATTAAAGTTAAAAACTTCTGCTCTTTGAAAGATCATATCAAGAGATGAGAGAACAAGCTACAGACTGGGAAAAATATTTGCAAAATACACATCCATTAAAGGACTGGTAATCAAAATATATCTAGAACTCATAAAACTCAGCAATAAGAAAACAGACAACCTAATTAAGAAATGAACCGAAGACCTTAACAGACCACTTCATCAAAGATAAACAGCTGCAAAGAAGCAGATGATAAGATCATCTTATCATTTTATCATCTTATCACCAATCCACAACCTGTGTCATAAGGGAAATGTGAATTAAAACAAGATGCCACTAATCATTACTCATCTCTTAGAACAGCCAAAATGTGTAACGCTGACACCACCAAACACTGATGAAGATGTGAAACAACATGAACTCTCATACACTGCTTGTGGGAATGCGAAATGGTACAGTTCCTTTGGAGGACGGTTTGGGGTTTCTTATAAAACTAAACATGCCCTTCCCATAAGATCCAGTGATCACACTGCTTGGTTTTACCCAAAGGAGCTGAAAACATGTCCACACATAAACTTGCCCATGATGTTTTGTATCAGCTTTATCCATAACTGCCCAAACTTGGAAGAGGTGAATGGATAAACTGCAGTACGTCCAGACAACTACAGCACTACAAAGAAATAAGCTATCAAGCCATGAAAAGACATGGAGGAACCTTAAATGCATATTAGTAAGTGAAAAAGTCAATGTGAAAAAGGCTACCTACTGTATGAATCCAATTACATGACGCTGGGAAAAGGCAGAACTACAGAGACGGCAAAAAGATCAGTGGTTGCCGGGGTGGGAGGCACAGAGCAGGCAGAGTGCAGAGGATTTTCCGTGCAGTGAAACTACTCTGTATATTATAATGATGGATAGACATAATTACACATTTGTCCTAACTCACTGGGTATACAACACCAAGAGTGAACTCTAACGTAAACCACAGACTTTAGGTGGTTCTGCTGGGTGGGTGCAGGCTCACTAATTGTAAGGAGGGTGCCACTCTGCTGGGGGATGTTGATAATGTGAGAGATTATAACTGAGGGAAGTAGGTGGTATATGGGAAATCACTCTACTTCCACCCTAATTTTGGTGTGAAGCTAATATAGCTCATAAAATGTCATTAAGGAAAAAACAAGCATTGCTCAAACTTTTTTTTTACTGATTTAGTATTTGTGTATGTCGTGAAATAATCACAGTAAGTCTAATTAATGTGTCACCAAAGTTACAGAATTTTTTCTTCTGGCAAGAAGTTGTAAGATTTACTCTCTTGGCAGCTTCATTCACCGCGGCTGCCGTGCTGTGTGCACCCCGGCCCCGTGACTCCCTCTGCAGGGTGGCCCTGCCTCCTCCCTTCACCCGCCTCGCCTATCCCCGACCCCCGCCTTGGCACCCAGTGTGCTCAAACTATTCTTACTGAGTATTTTACAAAGAAATAAAACATTTAATTCTCATAGTTCCCAACGTTTTAAATTAAGTATACATACTAAACAAACACTAATTTTACTATTTCTCGTTTCCTTTTACATTTATAAATAACAGTAAGAATCTGACAAAAATTGTTTTAAAGTCACAGAACAACCCTAAGTTTTCCCTTACGATCACGCTGCGTGGTTACATCTGGCCCGGTCATTTCTGTGCAACCCCGCACTGGCACACAGATGAGGGTCGCCGCGTGAGAAGCAGAGAAACAGAACTGCGGTCGTTCTCAGCATGACTACGCACGGGGAAAGTTTCAAAGGTAAGTATTAGAATTTAAAATGGCCAGCAGACTACGAAATCCAAAATCAAAATTCAGAACACTACACATGATCAAAAGTTAAAATGTGAATTTCTTAAAAGCTGTCAATTTTAATAAAGGCCCACAATCCCCAAACAGGAAATGACACGAGAGCAAATTTTACCTGTAATTCATTTGGCGGCAACACCTGTCCTGAATGGAGACCAAGCTATTTACAACTTTCGTGTCCCAAACACTATGGGGGACATAACCCATGGCACACGCACTGCACAACTTTGCTAAAATCCAAGTTTTGAATTCCGAAATACAACTGCCCCAAAGGGTTTCAGAAAAGAGACTGTTCTTATAGCATCAGAAAACACATTGAGTACCTAGGACTGAATTTAACAAAAATGTTCAGACCCTCTATTGAGAAAAATTACAAAATTTGTACTTAAAGACATTAAAGAACATCATTAAAAATGCAGAGGCATGCCTAGTTGATTGCACATCTCATTGTACGGATTGTCAGTGTCTTCCAAGTGGCCTACAAACAAATGCAACCTCAGCCCAAATCCCCACAGGCCTTTCGGCAAAACTTGACAAATGATGTTAAAATCTGCATGAGGCCAAGGGCCAAGAATCACCAAAAGAGAGAACAGTATGAAAAGACTTGGTACACCAGATATTAACATTTTTTGGAAAACTGTATGAATTAAGACAGTCTAATATCTGCATAAAAATGAAAGACGAATACAGTAAGACAGAAACGAAGAGCCTAAAGAGATACACAGGTACTTGGACAGAAGACAACAGTGACTCTGCCTAAAACACGTCTGTGTGAAAGGGTCGGGGTAACTTCCATCAGTGATGCCAGCACAACTGAGTATCCATTTGTGAAAAAGTAAAACGGGAGTTCTGCTGCATACCATACACCAACCAATTCCAGATAAATTATGAATTTAAAATACTATACAGATCTAAATATACTATAAAGCTTTTGGAAGAGGATATTGGAGAGTATCTTTTGTATAATGGAAAATAACCATAAGGCAAAATATCAGAAAATTCACTATACTAGAATGAAGAACTTCTGCTTATTAAAAGGTGCCTGTCTTTATTAAAAGGGTCCACAGACATCTTACAATACATCTCTGTGTGTCTTGTAAGCAGAGGCAATGGCTGCCTTTGTTCCAAACTCTCTCTTCAAAGACATCTGTGTAGCAAATAGCATTGAAGGATAGAAACAGTGTTTCCCTTTTGGCAGGTTTGGTCACTGTCCAGCACAATAAACATAATGGTTCTCACCAGGACAACAGTCAGATTTGTTTACTGCCCATTTAAAAGCCCAAGGTTCCCTGAACAATCCGCTACGGCATTTGGTCCTCTTTGCATTGATTGCCCTGTGCAAACTGGGCTTAGGAACCAGCAACCAAGTGCTGTCACCCTGACCAGTGCTACCGCCATGAGTAATAAACTCTCGGTTCTGAATAGGAGTCTGGTGTCTTTTTCACACAACCAGAAAGTCTTTTATCTTGCAAATGGGGTAGAAATCTCAGCCCCTTGATGGTTCTTGACAATTATTCCAAGAGTGAATTAAAAAGAAAAAACAAACAAACACAATCCAGACAATAGGAGAGGATATTTTAACTGTGTTACCAAGTCTTTTATTTAAAATATGTGCACAATTCCTATAAATAAGCAGAAATAAAAATTAGTG